TAAATTAATTATATATATATATATATATATATATATATATATTTATATATAGAATATATATATATATTTTTATATACGAAGGAAACTTACCCCGTTTCACTCTCAATATATGTTAGAATAGTTTGGATAATTTTAAAATTACTCAATTTTTGCGCGACGGGCTTCTTGCCGTACGTCACGAGAACGCGACATAATTTAATCGCCTGAACTACAGGAATACCATAAGCAGTATTCACCAAGTCCGTCGTTCCTATAAAAATTCAGATTTTAAAAAATATCTGATAATTATTTATAACAAGTAAATTCAAGTTTTATTCCATATTTATAATATATTCATATTTATAAAAATGTGATAAATTAGTTACGTATTAATTTCGAATTTATGATTTATTATCCTTACCTTTCAAATAAGATAAATAATCTGTAGACAGTGGTATAAAATTTTTAATGATAGTGTCCAATAAATATGGCGAGGATGAAATATTTAACGCTGTTATATGCGAGTGTCTCGCGAGGCGTATGAGTATTTCTAAGGCACACGTTACTCCAACAGGTGGTGGATGCATCTCACTTAGAATATATCTACAAGCGATTAGATCAGAATTAAAGAAGCTCTATTTTACATACTCGATAAAAAATGAAATACTGCAAAATTACAATACATTTAAAAATTGTCATCAAAAGTTACAAAATAAATAAAGTGATAATTACTTAATTCTCAATAGAATATCCGATCTTAATAATGTAGCGACAGCATCCAACTGCGCCAATTCGTGATCCTTCAGACCATTTGTATCCTTTTCGTCAAGTTGAGGCGTCAGCGTAGGCTCTGTATATTTGTCGTATCCGTGCAATCTGTCCAAGCATAGCTCGTCCGCTTCGCTAACTAGGAATGCTCTGAGCGCCTGCAGAGTCGCCGTGACCACGGCTACAGATGAATCGTCTAGCGAGAATCTCAATAGCAGCAAGATATTCTTTTGACTCAGCGCGATCAACGGTGCTGGTTGCAAGACTTTGTCATAACAACCACTACGCGTCTTCTCCATAATATTGGCTAAGGTAATAAGAGCTGTACATCGTTGTTGTTGAGTGGAAGATCTGCTCAACTGTAGCAACTCTTGGAGAGAGTATCCAGGACGTTCGGGTTCTTCCCCGTGATGATAGAGGCCTTTATCTACAGTTAAGCTCTCATCCTTGTATGGTAATAAAAGACCTAAAGAAATGATATTACTAAAAGATCGAGATAACTTATGTTACACCATATAATATAAATTGATGTGTTATTTACCCTTGAAATCAAATCTCGCGTTGTATTCTTTGTTCGGCACAGATTCATCTTCCTTGTTTTCCGGCAGGTCTTCCATCCATTCCAACTTTTCTGGTTCAGGAGTGTTCATGTGCAACCATCCCTTCTGCTTACTTTCTTCAAATATTTCTTTGGATAATTGTGGTATATTCAATACATTATCCTCACAATCCATTTTTGTATCGACGTTATCTGCAAACTTTACCTTCTTGTCATGAGATCTAAGACATGTATCTGTTGTCTTCTTTTTTGTAGCTAAAATGCTCGCTATAACATTCTCGCAATCCATTTCTGAGTCGTCGCTTGATAAAAGCTTTATCCTCTTATCACTAAATGCTCCTGTATCTATTACTTTTTCATTATTCATTGAAATGTTACATTGCTTCTTGTCTTGTTCAATTGGTCTTTTCCCAAATTTATTCTTATTTTTTAAAAACTGTATTATTTTAGGATCTAGAATTTCTTCAAGCTTTTTCTTTTCTTCTAATATCTCTACTTCACTCATTTGTGCCAGCTTTTCCAAATTTTCTTTATGTATCTCAATAGCCAGACAATCCTCTGTTATGTTTGCTTCTTTTTCTTTAGAATAAGAAGGTTCATCCTTTTGAATTTTTACCAAATCGTCTTTTGCAGATTTCAGTTTTGAAATTTTCTGCCAGAATAAACTTTGCTTATTCGTCTTCTACAAAGAGAAACAAACAAAATAGTATAATTGACATCAAAAATAATAGAAATATTATATATTTCACAAACTTAACATACTTTTTCTAAATGCTCCATGTCATCGGATTCAAAAAGCTTAGGACATTTTAACTCAGCTGCTATGGGAGCACAATTAAACTCATACTTCTTAATATCAAATTTCCTTTCCATGATATTGCCAAGTATTATATTCGATGGCGCTGTAGGTAAATTTTGCACCATATCCTCCAACTTTCCTTGGATCGTTTCCTGAATTTTATCTTTGATGGCCGGGTTTATTACCTCTCCGCAGCCCTGTGAAATAGAAATCGCGTCTCGCTTCCTTGACTGTTTCTTTGAAAACTGTGATCTTGTTTTGCTTGTACTTGAAACTTTGCATGGAACATCGGTGGAACCTCTCAAGTTTATAATCTTCACGGATGGCGATTGCCTTGCCTTCAGAAATTCTTCCTGTTGACGCAGAAGCTCCTCTTCATCCTCATCCGCTTCAGGCCTCTTCATGACTTTATCGGTCATTTCTCAAGTTACTATATAACCTCTCCGTGCTAATTTGAATGCTTTCGGATTAATAATTACAATCAACGAATGAAAGTCTGCAAATTGAAATTCCTTAATTATAACTTTCGAAAAACGATATTATTGCAATATGACAATTCAAACGTTATTATCATTGCGTGCGATTCAATCCACTACACTCGATTCGTAATCCAGAACCCACTTCCATGGCTTTGAAATCAACTTGAATCTCAAATGTTACTTCAGCGCCACGGTAGTACGGAAAATGAAACGACTGAAGAAAAAAAAAGGATTGCCTTCATTTCTCCAAGTATAAATAGAAAATAGTTATATAATATAAATAATTACATATAAATTGCAAAACAATTCGCAAAAACTTTTTTTTTTGAAGAAATTTTTTGTAGAATTTCCGTTTAATTTAAAAGATTTAACATTATTAATCTTTACTATTGATAATAATTTATTTTTTGGTTACATTTTATTTAATAAAAAGAGAAGAATATGCGAAAGTTACAAATGGCTTAATCTTCTAACTCACGATGAATCGTGCTTTAAAAATGCGCGCGCATTATTTAAACTCGGAGCCGGCTTCGGTCGGCTTTCCGCGTTTGTGCTTGCAACAGAAATGAACGTTTGCCTCATGTAATTTATGTGTTAAACAACAGGAAAAATAAATCATATTGATGATTTCAAGATGCTTAGAAAGAATATGTGGCGATTGAAATTCTTCATCAGGTATGTTTCAATCAAATTCAATCTACGGTTTGAAATTTCTAACCTGTAATATTATTCAACATAACCTGTCACCACTTTTCCAGAAGATATTGTTGTCCTTCTATGAAAACTACTCCGAAATGCTCAACAGGCCTTGTCAAGCGATCTATTTCGACCATCGATGCGAGATTCGTCAAGAATATCGGTCGAAGATGGCGACTTGTCGTTCCTACTGGAGTTGGTTTGTCACTGCTCGCAATAATACAATGGAATTACTTGCATGAGCATGGATATTCCATTGATGTAGAGAATAGACCGGAATTACTAAATGACGTTATGGTATGGATTGATAACATCAAATTATCAAGATATAAAGTTAATGAAATATAAAGCCTTCTTGTTATAGGCAACATGCTACTGTTGTCTGCCATTGAGGATAACTAGTAGAATATGGGGTTGGCTGACAAGCATCGATCTGCCGGTTAGTTTAAGGCCAATGTTATATGGATTTTATGCAAATATCTTTCATGCCAATTTGGATGAGGTAGAACTGGATCTATCTGCTTTCCCGAATCTGGTAGAGTTTTTTGTACGGGCGCTCAAAGATAATGCTAGACCGATTGCTCAGGATTCAAGCATGGTAATGTAAGAAATGGAAAGCTTAATTAAGTCCAAATTCATAATTATTTGTTTATTATTTCTAATTCTTAATATATGATGACAGTTCCATACCAACAATTATTCATATTTCCAATCTCTTATTAGTAATAATAAGAGATGATCTGTGATGATCCTTTATTTCCTACAGTAATAATAATTTATGCGCATTGATTGTACTTTATCAAATAAAACAAACAGAAAATTATATCTTGATCATGAGTGTGTTTGTGATTTTCTAGATTTCTCCTGCAGATGGTAAGATTCTTTATTTTGGACCAGTGACTTCTTGCCAAGTAGAACAAGTAAAAGGAGTAATGTATGATCTCCGTCAGTTTCTGGGCGATCTGAACAAACTTATGTCGGAGCAGGATGATTATGTTAATTCGCTACTAAGGAATCCAGACAATAGATTGTACCAATTAATCGTTTATTTGGCACCTGGTGATTACCATCGGTTTCATAGTCCTGCCGATTGGAATATAAAATTTCGACGGCACTTTCCAGGTATGTCTTGTTTCCTTAAAATTATAGCCTCATACAATGAAATTCTTCTTTAATTCTCCTTTTTCTAATTTAAATTGTTCTTTCTCAGGAAAATTGTTGAGCGTCAATCCAAGGATACTCAAGTACATGCCCAACTTGTTTTCGCTGAATGAACGTGTTGTGTATATCGGAGAATGGGCAGGCGGATTCATGGCTTACGCAGCGGTCGGAGCAACAAACGTGGGCTCCATACGAGTTTACTGTGATCCAGAATTGACGACCAATACAGTACATTGGCCGGAAACTGCGCATTGGAAGGAAGCGAATTTAGGTTGCACACGTATTGCCAAAGGTGAATTGTTCGGTGAATTCAGACTCGGATCCACGATCGTGCTTTTGTTCGAGGCACCACGAGATTTTCAATTTTGTCTGCAGCTCGGTCAGACAATTAAAGTTGGTCAAGCATTAAGCAGGCTCTCTAGCGACGAGTTTGATAAAGAACAAATCAAGCGGCAGCATTTAATTATGAATGTCGCGCAGGATTGGAGATATATATGGAAACCTAAAGTTGAACAATCAAGAAACTGTTCCAATTTTATTGGAAATTAAGGACATTCTGGAGAATTAAGAATCAATACCTTTATTCGCGTCTTCGCATGAAGTCGAGTTGTAAGCGCAATAAAGAGAAGACTACAGATAACGAGAGACAATGACAAACTCGATTTTCTTAAGCGAATATCGATGTGATTACCTCTGTATGTGGTTGTGTTCGTGCGCGAAAAAATCGTTATTCCATGCGGTTTATCTGAAATTATATGTAAATACATCTTTTGTTAATTGCACTCGTTCGTTACTTTAATTGCGTGAGATCAAGCATCACGCGAAAGACGGTGATTTATAATAGATTTGACACAGTTGATTTATCGTATAACGGCCGGTACGTGAATTAATATACAACACGTCTCCGCGCGACGCTTTGCACGATTACAGTTAAAAACCGGCGGGAACTTTAATGCGAAAAAACATATTTCTCTTTCCTCCTTGTGCGTCACCACCGATAGAGGTCGGATCGTAAACTGTTTTAGTTGCATGCCAAATCGATCTTTGTTCGTAGTTAAGTCGGCCGGTCAAGGCCACAAGATGAAACACTTTCCTCAATTAAAGCTTTAACTTTTTTTCAACCAGAAAGTAATAGGCAACATCATATATCTCAAGTCGCAACACGTACGAAGCGCTAGTCTCTAACTCTGACTTGATTATATTTTTATAGCAGTATTTTTATTTATTCTCTACATTCACGTTAATATTAATGTTATTGGATAATTCACGTTAATATTAATACTATTGGAAAATTCGTATCAAATCGGAGTACCGTTTGCCTCGATTTATTTAGCGCACGCGGACATGACTTCGCACTTTGGACCAGAATTAATTATAATGTGAATACTTCGTATCGAATCATAGAGATATATTTTATGATACAGATGCATAAAATAATAAAAAAATCTATTACATGGATACCATATTTTTATAATATTTTAATGTTAAATAATTGCTTTATTTGAATTTTTTTCATTGCTATTATATTTTGTTATTTTTCTTTATCTTTGTAATTAGATTCTTTATATTGAGACCAACTCTCTACGATCTTCTATTTATTAATGCTAATGATCCTTTTGAAACCTAGAAAGTCATAAGAACCTTCTCCTGTCCTGTCTAATTATGCATCATGTAAGCATTAGAAGCATGACTTTGACGTACATACATAGCACGCTCTCCAAAATAAACACAAGCAATACACAATCGATGACGAGCCGTTCGCCGGAAAATTGGAAATGACAAGCGTAAGGAGAGGCAAGTCAATTTGTCCGTTCAAAATTCTGAATATTTTGGGATGTTTGCTTAAAAGAGATTAATTAATCGTATATATTAACGCATGCACGCGTTTGCGGATTTTAGTATGTCAATTTAAATTTAATCTTCCACGTTCCCCTTTTATACTAATTTCCATCTATCTTCTCTGCAAGTTTTGGGAGAGAGAGAAAGAGAGAGAGAGACAGCCGTTTAAATTTATCTTCCCCACTCATGAATCGCCCAAATGCTAATACATCATCCTGCGCACAGAATATCTCCGTGTCCTCTCGGACAAAGCTCCATGTCCACCGTCGTTTATCGCTGCCACTGGAGCTTAACGTCAGCCATACTCTCGGAGGAAGATACGTGCTGGTACGGGAAAAAGGAGGAAAACCGCCGAGCCGGCCGGCGTAGCAAACGTCAAACCGTCGTTCGGCGGATCAGTGAGCGTCGCGACGCCCGCGGCGCAGGTTGCACTCGCCTCCTCTTCTTGCGGCTTGCCAATAGTACGTATCAGTGCGTCCAGCAGGACGCCGTCGCGCGGAAACATCGCCGATGACACCGCATGTCTGGTGCATATTACTTTATTCCTTCCCTCCTCTCTCTCTCTCTCTCTCTCTCTTTTTTCCCTCTTTTTCGCTGGAGCATTAAAACTCTGGACGATCCCTGGGCGATTATTATGGGGTATTTGAGCGTTGGCTAAATGGGGGCCGATGGACATTTTCGCGTGACCTTGTCCCTCAGGAGGGAACCAGGCGCCGGACCGGTTTTTGCAAGATGGAGACGTCCGCAAGATTTCGGCAGCTGAAGACGGTGAAGCTGAGCTGCGAGGCGACGTACCGGCTCGACATCAGCTTCAAGCCGCCGCAACTTCTGCAGTGGGTACAGTAAATGTGCAATTATACATACATATGTATCAGTCTTTTCTCCTTCTTTCATCCTCTGTTCGAGTGGTTCGAGTTCTTTTTTTTTTTTTTAGAGAACGGTAATTTTGATAACGGTGCTTGGCCGATGGAAAGTCGTGTCGAAATCATTCATTTAACATAAAAATAAATGACAAATTGGATATATATGACGTGTCATTTTTGTCGCAATTTGATAGATCGATTTATTCTTTGTTACATAGTGAAAATGTAAACTGTATCAATGATATGATTTTTTGGACATACTCGGAATCCAATTTATGTATCTAAAACAATTGATTGGTGAATGATCCCGGGTGATTCCCACCGCATTATTCAATTTTATTCGAAATTACATCGAAATGAGCAGAGCGACCAGCGTTGCGCATTCTCTCTCAAGGGGACTATAAAGTTCACCGCGAAAAAGTCACGCTCGACTAATAGCAGTTTATCAGAAATTTATACGATCATTTTCAGCGCGAAGAGCGGGAGCCGGCGATAAATTTCAACGTCTGAGCTTCTATGCTCCAGGGACGAGGATTACGGCCTCTCGCAACACATATATGTTCAGATATAGAATCGCTAATAATGCCAACTTAACTGTAATACCGAAAATAAACTCAGCATCGAAAATGTGCATGGGAAAACGTTTACTTTCGTGAGTACTTAAGAGGGAAAGAAATCGCCCAATCTACGTCATATAATACTTTGTATCATTGCGAGTAAAGTCGACGCCTCGGTATTTAGTATTAGTCGTGTTTGTAGAAATTTTTTATAGTGTACTGAAATAATTTCTAGACTGTCAGGTACTTTTATTATTAATTTCAGGAATGATATTCTACTCCTACGCTTTTTACCATTCGATTATTTTAAAAATCAAGCGATACGATTTTTGTAGAGCCAAGAAATGTTTGATTGGTTAGTTAAATTTTTATTAGTTCTTATTTAATTAAAATATCTGAAAGTCTTGAAGTTTCAGAATGGTGTCCTAACTCTACCATTACGCTTTTCTGCCTTCCAATTACTCTAAAAGTCGGAACGATTTCTGTAACTAAGAAGTTACTATTTGATTGGTAAATTTTTAATTCTCATTCAATTAAAATATTCAAAAGTCTTGAAGTTTTACGAACGATAGCCTAATCCATTATTTTCTACCATCCAGTTACTCTAAAATTCCATTTCCATAGCTAACAAGTGTCTAACTATTTTGTAAATTTTTAATAGTTCTTATTTAATTGAAAGATGAATGTAAAAGTCTCTCGAAATTTCTAATCCAGGAATGTTCTAATCCTACTGTTATGCTTTTCTACCATTCAATTATTTTAAAAATCAAGTACGATTTCTGCAGCTAACAAATATCTCATTAGTTTATAAATTTTTATCAGTTCTTATTCGCATAATTAAAATATTCAAAAGCCTTGAATTTTCTGTACAAATAAGAGTGATTTTAAGCAGATTAATCAGGCTTGGTAAAATTGCGGTTGAAATCTCGCAGACCCCAATATATCGGGTTTAAATTTTCCGCGAAAGTCTTTCCTGTATTTCATATCGTTCCTATCGCGTTGCATTGTGAAAATTTTCTCAGAATTTCTACAGATATTGACATATGTACGTACACGGAACAAACGGGGCTCTCGCAAAGTACATCCGGACGGATTACATTCGAGTCGTGGAAAGTTTGGAGCACGGGGTTGAAATCGAATAAGCACGAGCGACGACGATGAGGATCGCCGTGCAGTCAGTCGATCAAACCGACGGGAGACTGATTGATTTACGTTGGCGGGCAATTAGGTATCAAAGCTCATTGGGAGGCGTTTGCTCGTCGCTTTTATAGGACGAGATCGCATTACGGATACGTGATCCCGGCGCGAGATAACTACTCCTCCTCCCCCTCCCCCGCGCGCGCATTTCCCAAGCGAGCACGAGCGAGCACATAATCCTGGAGTCGGCAGCACGTGGGGGAGGGGGGAGAGGGAGGGGAGAGAGAGGGGTGGGGGGGCTTTTAAACGTGTGCGAGCGCAGCAGCTGCAGTGACACACCGGCAACCCTCACGCGAGCGGGGGGCGCGAGAAAGACGGACGTGTTATCGCCTTGAACTGCAAAACGCGCCCCGGTCTCCGGCGGCCGGGGGGGGAGGGCGGGGGGGAGGGGTGGGATCGATCGTGATTTTACACGGTGCACTCGTGCGGCGCACGTGCTACTTATAATTGGCTGATCGATATGTTACAACCGGCCGCGACCCGCCGATGAGGGTGGACGATCAACTTGTTGTACGACACACCGGGGTAGGATCGTCTTATCGTCGGCGGAAGCGGTGAAACATGATGGATGTGTTGTCTCTCGTATGCCGGCGCGATCGTACCCGCCGTACGATAATGAATGTGTGTCGTGTATTCAATCGGGCTCAGGCTTGAAATATCGCCCCGGTAACCGGAGCGTCCGACAGGCATCGCGTCGAGAGCGAACGTCCCCGTAATTGCGGCGATAAATCAACAATTACGTTAGTGACCGCGTACGGAATGACGTGTAAGACGAGGAACCGCCAGGGATCAAAAAAGACGAAGCATCCCTTATTATCGAATTTCTATCGACATCCGACACAGGGATTCCAAGGCTGGAAAAGTTCGAGGCGACGGGACAGGAGCTTGAGATCGATAGGAGCTTGAAATCGCATCGAAAGGGTTAAAAAACGTTCGATAACGTTGACGGTTTCTCGTTCGATAATTGAGTCGCGATAAAATCGCGTAAAAGATGTTATTGATAATTAAGCTTAAGTCCGTTCCTCCCTTTCTTTTTAGCAACGCTTCGCGATGATTTACGATGTGTGCCGGCACGATTTGCAACGCGATTCGCACGGGTTGAACGCGAGGGCTGAATCGAATTATGGAGATCGCGAGAGAGGGGGGAGAGGGGGGGAAGGAACAAATGCGATGTGCATAAATATCTCAGCTACCAATCCCCCCCCCCCCGGCGCAATCACGAAGCCGGAAGTGTCCGCATGATCTTCGAAAAGTCACGAAGGGTCGCGCGTCGCGCGGCAGAAGCGGTCTTCCCCCTGCTCATCTTTCGGACAATGGAAAATTCCCCTCCTCCTCTCCTTTTCCCGTTCGGTGGAAAATGCGGCTTTCCTTTCCCCGACGATATCTCGCCGAAATCTCGTGGAATTTTAAACAGCCGCCGCGGATCATTAGTCCGAATCACGCGATGCACTCCTGTGGCCTGCTTTTCGATTTTACGGACCAGCGGCGAACGGCACGACGATCCATTCCCCCCCCCCCTCCTTCCCTTCCCCCTCGCCCCTCCGGCGAAAACCCCGAAGCGACGTCGTTACCGAAGACGGATTAACGATTAATTCGTTCGAATAAAGTACACATACGCGGCTCGCTCGTTATGCATTCAATTAATTATTTGTGCATTTGCGCGCGCGCGCGCGCGCGCGCTACTTCGCGAACACTCCGGTGGTGCACTCGTGCCTGCAAAGTCGAACGATTAAAGTTTCGTAATAAGGGTCGGAAAGTTCGCCGTCCTTGTTTCCGTTGCCGTAATATTCCGTATGAACGGAAGTAAGGCAGGAGGACGCGAAATGTAGACACACTGACGAGCTTATGATGTTACAAGCCGACGGCCGCGTTGCATTTTTTACGAACGATAATGTTGTATATCGACCGTGCGCGCCTTTAGATGCCAGTCCACGACTGCAATTTCGTCTCGGCTCATCTCTCTTATTTTAGATGCACAGCACTCGCGCATGAATTTTTAATCCCGAAACCCTATTTTGCGAAACCCTAGCGATGCATCCTGCAAGACGCATCTCTGTCCGTCCCCGTCTAGATGTACAATTTCTCTTTTCTGACTGAAATTCTTATCGCTCGTGATATAAATTCTATTTTCAAATCTCTCCTTCAGTTTATCTTCTTTCCTTTTATAAAACATGTCGATCTTTTTCATCCCCGATTAACAAATATCGGCCTTGAAATAATATCTTTAATTCTAAACTTCAGAACTTGCCAGCTGTAAAAGTTAAAACAAATTATTCTTAACTTAATTTCTTAATTAAAAATATTATTTAATTATTATTATTTAAACGTAAATTTTATATATGTAAAAAAAAACAGACAAGAAAAATGAAATAATCAGTTTTATATTAATTGCAGTTGGCAATTATTAAATTTAATCGACTGATAAAGTTAATTGGGGAATATGAGACCAGAGAGATAGACCGTAATCTAAAGTAATATTTTATACTTAAAATTCTTTTAGCTTTTCCTCTTAGCGTGCAATTTATATTTATTTCCTCCGTGTTTTCCTCGTTAACGTAATTTCAATTCCGCATTAAGTCTAGCATTAATTGTGTAATTTCATAGGTGGTAAAGTTCATAAATGCATTTACACATTACCGCTGTAATCCTCGCACGATCCGCGAATCTCAGGGAGAGCTTTCGTTCAATAAAACCATATAGATCGTCCCACGTCGTGTACAATACATACGTTATCTCACGTTCCATTTTTCCGTGTTTGCAGGATTTACAGACCGTCCGTTTCTGCATAACGATTCGATTCCTGCCACGCGATTGTTTATCTCGGGCCGATAAGCCGATGCACGCAGCTGATACGACCGCGCGCGCACGCGGGTCATTTGCAAGCACCCGTCGTCGCAGCACTTTCGTGAAAACTCTAAAAATAAAGTCAGTCAGAGCGTGAGTCAAAGTGCGCCTCGTGCCCATATGAGAAAAACTAGACTTCTAAAGATATATGGATCTAAGGATCAAAGTCAATCTAAAAATACGACCCAGCGGCCTGACGTAAGATTCAACTCGGCGATCAGGACTCAAGGACCCACTCGAGCAAGAGTGATAATTTTCCTCCCCAGCATTAAGTCCGTTCCTTTTAGCTGAACTTTTTGCACAAATCTTTTTTCCCCTCTCCTCCTAACGTAGACAGAAAAGGAGGAAGGAACTGTTCAAAAGTTCAGACTAAAAAAAAAAAAA